CATAATTTTTATTTAAATTCTTTTTAATTTTAACTATTTCTTTATTTCTAAAGACCTGTAATCAATTTCTAGAAAAAACGGTAGCCAGGGGAAAAAAAAAGAATTATTTGGGAACCTTTGATGGTACGCCAGATGATCAACTTGAAAAGTTAGAAAATTTTTGAGAAATTGCATACAGTTAATGTTCAAATATGGGTTGAGGAACTCTAACAATATTTCAAAGTCATATTTTTTCTAATCGTAGTAATTAAAATTGGTAATTTAGCAGTTTCATAGCCTTGCCGTTGAGGAAAAAGCTGACAAATTTCTTGAAATTCGTCTTGCAGAAGACTGTAATTCTTTGGTCTACACGCTAAAAACCTGAGAGAATTTTCTGAATTTGATTACTCGACTAAGAAAAAACAAAAAAAATTCTATTTGCAGTCTGTTAAGTAGAATTTAATGTCGAAATTGCTTCCTAAATTAGGGCGCAAAGTATTTTAAATTACATATTGGAAGTATTTAATTTTATGCTGGACCAGAGTTGATTATAAATTTCCAAAAAAGATTGTATCTGGGTGCGGAAAAAAATGAACAGAAATAAAATGACAGCACTTAAGTTTAGTTTTTTTACAAGTTTAAAGCAAACCATCGCCTTCCCTGCATCCCTTTCCTAATTATAACGTCATGGATGCTTAAAAAATAAACCATAAACCCTGGATTTTGTCATGTTCCAACTGCTATGAAATGACTCGCATGAAGCTGGCGGATGCTTTTATCTTGTCAAAGACAGTGTGTCTCATTGTTTAAATCGTAATGTTCACGCATACATACATACACACACACACGCACACACAGAAGAAAAAGATTAATTCTATTTTAAAAAAGCTTGCCACCAAACATGGCAAGAAATGCAAGTGCAAAATGTGAAACAGTTCAAATTCAACTAATCAACAGTAAAATCACTTATAACAAAAGTAAGTTGTACAGTAATTTTACAGTAAGTTGCAGTTGCTGAAAATATACCTACAACTACATTTTTACTTGGTCGAGTAAACTGTACCATGTAGCTTCCAACTGTCTTGCCATCCTTAACTAAGCTCTCTGTGTTTAGGTCTATTTTTCGGCCATGCACGCATGAGTCTTTATTACGGTCAACATCTGACGGTCCACAAATTTCTGTCAAGTTTTTGACTCTTTCAAATATAGCTTCTAAGTAGCTATTCAAGCCGCCTTCTGGTTCTTGAGCGTCTTAAGTTTGTTGAACCCGTTTTTTTCTTCGCTACTACTTGAACATCAAAAGTTTTGAAAAATTTTCAAAATGAGCCATAATCTCGTAATTCATCAGCAAAATACCTGAGAAGAGTTCAATGTATATAAAAATTTATCAAATTCTAAAATTAGATCTCTCCTTCAAGTATCATTGATACCTTTCATTTTTTTTAGCTATTTTTAGTTTTACATTCAACCAGGAACAATCATCCTTTTCTCCTGAGCTTTTCCTGCCCACTCTCCCAGAAAAATTCGTTATGGATCAGTAGCAGCGATTGTTGCTGGGACTCTAAAGTTGATTTCGAGCGGGCATTTTGACTTAGCACTTTCCACAATTTAAGCCAGGAGTTCCAGAAACAGACAAGTCGTTTATGAAAATCTAAAATGTGTGATGCCTCTAAAAGCTGACCCATGGCTTCATTGGCAATGCAACAGATTTAGGAAGACAAAAGATTGTAACTTTGAAAAGTCAGATGAAAGCACCAATTATTCCGGTAACAGAAAACTAAAGCAACAAGAAGAGGTGTTAGACCAAATCTTGACATATTATTAAAAAAAAAAATTTGTTCATTATCTAAGGCGTTTAGAAGGTTAGAGAGCGAAATGCTCCCATTTCTAGCCTTTTGCAACGCCAAAGCCCACAACTTTGTGACCCACCCGTATTTCTGAGTTCATTATTCCCTTAAGTAATTATTTATACATCTGAAAGTACATGTTGAAGCCCCATCTTCACGGAAAACAACTTTTGTTTGGGTAACTGGGATAGAGCTGCCCACCAAGTTTAATGCACAATGTCACCACCTAAGCTCTAGATGGCTCTAAAAATCTGATGGAATTTCGCCAATGAAAGGTTTTCGTTACAATTCCCGTTTGTTCAGTAAAAATTGTAGGCTGTTGTTGGTATGCAGTTCGATTTTTGATGGTACTGGCGAGTTGTACCACATTGCATTTGATTGCAGTGCTTGAATGTTATTAATGAATGCTTGTGTTTGGTGTTTTACATCAAGAATAAGGGACAAGAAACTGTGGCATTGTAATTTTTGCGGAATTATATTGTGAATTTTTATTGCCTTTAAGCAAAATTTTTGTTTTGAACGTACTGTTCGGGTAACAGTGGATTGATAATGTGTACTTTTGCTTATTTCCGCGGATATTCTTTTGTTATTTAAGATATAGCACTTTTGCAACAAGGGCAAAAGTCTTTGTTTTTGGTATCATTTATATGAATGGTGAAAAGTCAACATTATCTTAGTATCTTCATTTAATTTGGGTCAATAGATACTTCTGTCTCGTATATTTAACAACATGGCTGCTGTACAACAGCTACCCATAGATCTTCATTCGAGTAAACTTCTTGGTAAGTTGATTTTTGAAACTGGATTTTTTGCGATTAATGATTTCAAGTTTGGGATATCTCTGTATAGGGGGTTTGCAATAGATTGTTTACTGCTTTTTATAACATTAGTCTCAATAGTTTAGCCATGGTTGCGGTATCTATGTGGTAGTTTGTATTTTTTAGTGTATATGTGGAAAAATTGAGGAAGTAAAAAAGTCTTGATAGTTAACTTCTTTTAGATTAATATATTTGGTTAATTCAGTATATTACAGATTGGTTGATTAGTCGTCGTCACTGCAAAAAAGACTGGCAAAGCAAAGCAATGGTCATTCGGGAAAAAATCAAAAATGCAATCCTCGATATGCCGGAAAATCAGCGAATAGTTGAGCTTCTTCAGGGAACCTGTATGCATGATTCAGTTACATTGGAGTTTCTATTCTGTTCTATTTTGTTCTTTTCTTTATTTCTCTTAACTGTGGTTTAAGACATAAATTATTTCCACTGCCTTGAAATTGTTACTATTCTGAGGGAGACAGAAAAAGAGACGAAGAATTTTTTTGGATTTTACTCGTCACAACGCATGAACGATTGGTTGGTGAGTGCAATTTGCTGTGAATTGTTTTGAATCTTAGTATGTACGGAACAGTATATAATCTTTCTTACTTTATTCCTTCGTCTTTTGTTGTTATAAATGAACCTACAGCGCTGCTAACCAGCTAATTTTAGGAGATTAAAAGTCTTTATGAAAAGGATAGTGTTTATTTGGCAGAAGCGGCCCAGATTTTACAAAGGCTGGTTCAGTATGACATCCCAGCGTTAAAAAAACAGATCACCAAGAATGATTCGACAGTCGTGGTTCATCTTTTTTAACTTTTTAGTGATTATGGTCAGACTTAAGTGGGGGTGGTAGATATGATTGATTATTGTTTTTGACATTTCTACTTATTAAAATCGCTTATTGTTTAGCAGCATTTCTTAAGGATTGCGAACGCAAAGAGGAAGATTATTTCAAACAAGCAAATAACAGTAAAAAACAGTATGAAAAGCGGCTAGAAGAGTTAGGAGTTGAAGGTTCTTGCAGATTTTTCTGGAAATTCACCTTTTACTTTAACTATATAACGTTTGGTTAATTTTCTCTATTCCTTTAATTATTTTGACTATTCCGAACTTTTCATCCAAGCCTCACCCTAAATCACGTATTTTTTGTGTAAGCAGCTGGTAATTACAGGTAAACGTCTGCGACTTGAAATTCAGATGCTAGCAGCAGATTTGCCGACATTTTTTGCTGCTAGCAGCAAAAGAATTTCACATTTAGCTGAGCCAGTGGAATATTACAAGAATTTCTCAAAATATGTTACTCAGTCAGTTTTTTTCACTTCTCTGCTCGTTTTTTGTCTCTTCTACAAAGTATTGTAACTTCTAAGCATAGGATTTATTATTTTAGGATTCATGTTTCAAGTTTTAATGTAAATTGTATTTTTACCTTATAAGTTTAGCTTAGTTTGTTCCATAATTGGAACAGTCTTTGTAATTTTTTGTTTTAGGAACTCATCGAAAAAAATTACTTTGTTGCCTATTTGTTCGATGCTGATATCACAAGGATCTGATATAACTGTTTATGAGTGGAGACATGGTAGAAAGCCGAACTCTGTAGAACGGCCCACTGATCTAGCAGATGCATTAAGCGCAGAAGTAAGTTTCGGAATGAGAAGCAGTTCAAAATCGCTTCTCCTGAATAAGTTTGACTGCAACTTATCTTAGATGGCTGACGAAGGATGTTCAAAAAAAGAAGACGAGATTGATTTTGGGGACGATGATGAAATTGATTTTGGAGAAGAAGATGTTACTAGTTGTCCTGATGGTTTTATAGTCTGTACTTCAGAAGGAGATTCTGTGTCAGGAGTAAAAGTTGTGGAAAGTCCTCAAAGTGAGTTGCATTTGTTACAATATCCTAACATGTTTTGGAATGCAGCTTTCCTACTTTTTTTTGAATACGAGCCAACGTTGAAATGTTAGAGATCTTGGTGGCCCGTACATCTTAATGATCTTCCGGATTACAAAGAAATTTATTCCTTTTTCACGTACTATAGATAAACTGGATGATGGGGTAGCGCGTGGCGTTGAAGGACTTTCGCTGTTAGAATGTGAAGAAACTCGAAATCAAATAGTGAATGAGTTGGACGAGGTAAAGAAATTGGAGGAATTCGTAATTTCTAAACTAATTGGTTTTTGACTATTTTTGCTGTCTTGATGTTTCTTAACTTGCCTATTTATTTTTGGTTCTTGCTGAGACAGTTGCACCAGAAAATTTTTTAATCTCCTGAAGAATAACCGAGTTTTTCTAGAAAACAGTCTTACTCTTACCTGGTCTTTTCAGCTGCACACTTTTCTTTTGTCACGGTTGGACGACGAAACCACTGAAAATTCAGCTAATATTTACATTTCAGGTTTCGAGAGTCGTCCAGCGAATATTGCAAGTGTAGGTTTCTCACAAATGGAAGATTATTTTTTCAGTGCTTTTGTAAAGTTTTAATAGGTTTTTTTTAAGGCTACTGTGGAAAAAATAAGTTCATGGAAATCAGAGGTAGATGTTATTTATTCCGAATTGACTGATAAGAATAGGTGCCACTTATTCAAAATTTATAATTCTCCTGAGTAAGTGGTGTCTTATTTTTTTATATTCCTTTTTTGTTAATCAGTTTAAAATTGTTTTGGGTTTCCTTTGCGTCTTTAAAGCTTCTCCTTAATGACCTTTTATAATCTTTTTCGAATATTATTTATTTGCTTTTAGGTATGTAACAACTGTACTTGAGTCATTAGAGCACTCACGGTCGTTAGAGGGTCGTTATCTGCAAATGCGCAATTTAATGGTTGAAAAACGGACAGAAGCTGTAGCTGCAGCTAATAAAGCAAGAGATGAATTGAGTCAGATTGTCAAAGCGACTAAGATCCTCCAACATCAGGTTAATAATCTTTTCAGGTTCAATAACTTTTCAAAAATTGCTCGCTTTTTTCACTGTCATTGTGAGACTCGTCATTGGTTCCTATTTTTTGAATATATATATATTTTTTTATTGGACAAGGATTGTAACAACTCAAGTTTTTATTTTTCGACTTACGTGTCATAATAGGCTATTGCAGATAGAGGAAGATATATCTAAGAGATACAAAGGCACTCCAGTGAATATAATGGGTGGTATTGTTGCAGCGTTGAAAGCAGTTTAATGCGTATTTTTTTCCGTGATTTGTTTACATTCGTTTTATTTCACGTATTCTACTGGTGAACTGTTTCGAATGGTTATGAATTTTTTTCTGGCAGTTTTATGTACGAGTTGTCAGCAAAATAACTCGGCTGTTTTCTTTCATAAAATTTTTCTTTTATTGCGCGCTAAAGCTTTACACTATAAGATCTGTGCTCCCAAAGTTGTTTGATCGCGAAGGTCGTGATTGGTAAGATTTGGAGGAAAGAAGTTGGGGGGAAAATTGAGTCCTTCTCGCATTTCTGGTAGTATTTTGCTTCCAACTCGTTTTATTTTTGTTAAGATTCGGACATCTAATAAGAGGTTTGTTTTATTACTTTGAGATGTGTGCTTTGTTGATCAAGTTTGAGAGATCTCTCTATACGAGTGCATTAGTGTTAACCCTTATGTCGTTCGTCGTTTACGGGCTCGCTATCAGTAGAAGAGGGCATCGTAAACTCTATGCCCCGGTCTGGTAAACGCAGTTCCCGGTGTTGCTTTCTGCTGTCAAATCTTTAAGGAACACGGATTTCTCAAGTGTACCAAGTCTTTTTGAGAGGCCAGAACTGTCACCAAGACGTGGTGTCAGTTGCCCTGAAGAGCAAGTATGTAGAGTGTTCCAGAAATCTTTTAAACTTTTTAAATAGATAATGTTAGCTGGGGAACCATGCCGTTCAAAACACCTTCTCATGATCGTCAT